ACAACCAAGCCAGAGAGCATCAAGGACCCCACAGTCGTCGTCGTCGTCCTCCTCCTCCTCCTCCTCCTCCTCCTCCTCCTCCTCCCCCCTTCTAGCACTGATGATGTTCCCTAGTTGGGTCATGAAATGTCTGCAAGAAAACACCAAGCTCAGAGAGCAACAAGGACCCCACAGTTCTCCTCCTCCTCCTCCTCCTCCTCTGCCTCCACCGCCTCCTCCCCCCTTCTAGCACTGATGATGTTCCCTAGTTGGGTCATGAAACGTCTGCAAGAAAACACCAAGCTCAGAGAGCAACAAGGACCCCACAGTTCTCCTCCTCCTCCTCCTCCTCCCCCTCCTCTCCCCTTCTAGCACTGATGATGTTCCCTAGTTGGGTCATGGCATGTCTTCAAGAAAATATCCAAGCTCAGAGAGCCTCAAGGACCCCACAGTCGTCATCCTCCTCCTCTTCCTCCTCCACGCTGCAACCCCCCTCCCTTCTAGCACTGATGAAGTTACCTAGTTGGGTCATGCAACGTCTGCAAGAGAACAACCAAGCCAGAGAGCACCAAGGACCCTTCATTTCAATCCTGAGCTCTCTTTTATTGGAAGGAGAGAATGCTAACTGTTCTCTAACTCCACTTGCTGTTTTGTTCCTTTGAAGGTTAACCAGCCAAAATTTAATCAGCGGAGGATCAGCAGCGCTAAGTTCCTTGGCGAGCTGTACAATTACAGAATGGTAGAGTCGGCGGTAATATTTCGAACTCTGTACTCATTCACCTCGTTTGGGATCAACTCGGATGGCACACCGAGTCTCCTTGATCCTCCAGAGCATCTTTTCCGAATTAGACTGGTCTGCACCATCCTTGACACCTGCGGGCAGTATTTTGACAGGGGGTCTAGCAAGCGAAAACTCGATTGCTTCTTGGTCTACTTTCAGGTAGGATAACCTTTGACCTCGCGATCAGCTTCGTCTTTACAAGCTACACATTATTTCTCTCTCTCTCTCTACCACGCTAAATAAAATTGACAAAAAAAGACCCGGATAAGAATGGCATAATTGAATCAGGTGGTTAAAAGGAAAAGAGGGGAAGGGAGGGAGGGAGAAAGGAGATGGATTAGAAAAAGTCCTGAGGATCAAATCCATTAAAAAAAAAATCCAATGTCACATGCTATTGACATTACAGTGATTTAACCACACAAATGTGTTTTCTAATCGCCAGATTTTGATGGCTTTTGTACATCTCCAAAATATTTGGGGCAAAACAAATCTTTGGGGTGGGGCAGTTATTGAGATTATATTCAAGACATGGGGTAGCATGAATAGAATAGAACAGAACAGAACAGAGTAGAATAAAGTAGAATAGTATAGAATAGAGTAGAGTAGAATAGAATAGAATAGAATAGAATAAAGTAGAATAGAATAGAGTAGAACAAAGTAGAGTAGAATAGAACAAAGTAGAATAGAATAGAACAGAGTAGAATAGAATAAAGTAGAATAGAACAGAGCAGAACAAAACAGAGTAGAATAGAATAGAATAAAGTAGAACAGAGTAGAGTAGTAGATCGGAACAGTAGAGTAGAATAGAATTAGAATAGAACAGAACAGAGTAGAGTAGAACAGACTAGAATAAAATAGAATAGAATAGAATAGAGTAGAGTAGAACAAAGTAGAGTAGAATAGAATAAAGTAGAATAGAATAGAACAGTAGAGTAGAATAGAATAAAGAATAGAACAGAGCAGAACAAAACAGTAGAATAGAATAGAATAAAGTAGAACAGTAGAGTAGAGTAGAGCAGAACAGTAGAGTAGAATAGAATTAGAATAGAATAAAACAGTAGAGTAGAGTAGAATAGAACAGAACAGAACATATAGAGTAGAGTAGAATAAAGTAGAATAGAACAGAACAGAGTAGAATAGAATAAAGTAGAACAGTAGAGTAGAGTAGAATAGAATAGAATAGAATAGAATAGAATAGAATAGAATAGAATAGAATAGAATAGAGCTGTCTACTGAATGGAAAGAGCCATGCCACTATTCTAATTCTATTAATTAATATTCATAAGTATGCCATCGTGTTGCTTTTGCTGAATCAGAATAACAGAGTTGGAAGGTCATCTAGTCCAACCCCCTGCTCAAGCAGGAGACCCTGGTACCATTCCAGACAAATGGCTGTCCAATCTCTTCTTAAAAGCCTTCAGTAATGGAGCACCCACAACTTCGGAAGGCAAGCCGTTCCACCGGTTGACTATTCACCCTGTCAGAATCAGAGAAAGGGAAGTGACACATATTCTGCCTAGCTCTTTTTCTTAATCAACGGCCACTGATAAGTTTGATGTGATCAGTTGTTTTGTACAAGATTTTTGAAATATTAACTAACTTGCTGAAACGAGTTCCTAACTGATTCGACTAACTAGAGAAGCTGGGCATTTACTGTACAGTGTTATTTTTTGTTTTTTGTTCCCAGAGGTATGTTTGGTGGAAGAAAAGCCTGGATGTATGGACAAAGGATCACCTGTTCCCTATAGACATTGACTATATGATCAGTGATACATTAGAACTGCTGAGACCCAAAATAAAACTCTGCAATTCTCTGGACGAATCTGTTAGGCAGGTACAAGAGCTGGAAAGGGAATTCTTAATCAAACTAGGTAAGACGGCTATATCAAGCCCAGAGGGAGCTGAAATCCCCCCTTTGATATTTTACATCTTTATAGCACTGTTTATAATTTTTGAGATGTCTCTGGGCAAGTGAGTATGAATGTTCCTCTGTCTCCATAGGGTGGGAGAAAGTGCTTAATTGATGCGGATACAAGCTACTGTGAAACTCTATAGAGCTTGCCGCATACTAGTTTAATAAATTATGGCCCCTCAACCCAGTTTCCTGCTCTGGGCCAGCCTCTTCCTCACGAAGACGAATACAGCTAGTCCTTGACTTACAGCCACAATTGAGCCTAAAATTTATGCTTGCTAAGCGAGACATTTGTTAAGCAGGGCTGGGGAGTCGGTAGATAAATGTTCCGACTCCGACTCCTCAGTTTTTTGTACTTCCGACTCCGACTCCCCGACTCCGACTCCTCTGTATTAATATGCG